GAGAGAGAAGGGGAAAAAACTGCAGTAGTCAAAATAAACGGATCAGAGGAAATGTTGGCCCGGGCAAATAGAACTCTGATACGAACGTTCGATAGGCGATCTGGGTTAAAAATTCGAAGAAGGGAAAAGTTTACGTAGGGGATGTAAGTCAATCAGAAACATTGATGGAAAATAAACTATATAGACCGAAAATTCAAAGTCGAAACCGTCGTGTCCTGAAAAAAAGGGTCGCGGAAAAGTTGTGCTGTTCTGTGTGACTCATCAGCCACCTCGGACGCAGAACCCTTCGCCTATCATCTGAGCAATGTTCCCTCTAAGTGCAGGCGAGCATGCACACCGATTTGAATTCTTGTTTACTTATTTCTTACTCTGTCCGCAGCATGATTACTGCTGAGTATATTTTGATTAAATACATTAAATCAGTGACAAAAGATAATATTTCGTGTAAAAGTATGTTTTAAAATAAATTTTATTTTAATTTTTATAGGAAAAAATGATTATATATATATATAATCTTATTTTCTGAGCACATATATGTATGTATATGCTCAGATTATATATGATTATATATATATATGCACAGCAAAATTTTTTTTACTCAGAAAAGTATATGTTCCGCTCATCTACAAAAAAAATTAGAGGGAACATTGCATCTGAGCCGCAACAACGAACTCTTCCCATTTCAGTCATTACGAAATCAGAAAATTTGATTTTATTTCTCTCTGAATAGAACTAGTGCAAAAAATTCTATAAAACTATATAGAAAACATGTGTGTTCCACTGCGTTAAAAGTATACCTGACGGTGTAAAATCTGTAATGGATGCAAAGGTATAGGCAAAACAATTATCCGATTTCTAAATATTTCTTTAAAATTTTAATAAGTTAATTAAAAACAAATTCTTATTAAATTTTAAAATTTATTTTCTATGTTGTGAATTTCCCATATGTTTAATTACAAACAGGTTTGAGTTCCGAGTAATATTTTGATCAATACGAAATATTTTTAAATGTGAGCAGATATGAAAGCATTGAATAGTTTAATTATACTTTAATTTATTCAGTAAATTGAAAAACGATTTGAATACAATTAAAATCTTATGATTAATTAAAATTAATCAAAGACGTTTAATTAGGAATAAAAAAAGGAGGAAAAGGTCACTTTTAAACAATCACTTTCCCAACAAAGTAAGATAAATTATTACTGAGTTGTTTGACTACTTTTATAAGACGAAAACAATTCGAATTTCTGTTTATATGTACAGAGGACAACGTTAAATAAAGAGGAAATTTATTTAACCATTTGTTCTTTAAAGGTACTGTACGATTTCAGTGGTTACAAAAATTCTTTTAGGAAGTTCTATTGTGTAGATTGTAAGAAGGCAATGTAGAAGAACGTTTCCATTCTGTAGTGTTTACTACTTAGAGAACTTGCTGCTTAACGAAGACACACGTAGAGTTTCCGGCGTAAGTAAATATAAGGTATGTATTTAATATTTTTTCGAACTTTTCTAACGTTTACTCTTTGAAGGAAGCTTACCACTGCCCGAGTGAATAAACCATCGATTATTGATAGTTGGTGGCTCAAAATCGGCATTGCTCTTCGGCTTCGTTTCGTGTGTTTAACACCCAAATAGGGAGCACTTTTTGCTCGACAAATCAACATTTTCTCGACGAGGATACAAACAGAAAACAAAGAAACGTCTTAAAATATATTTTGTAAGTAAAAATTCTATAATTTAATTACCTTTAAAAATGAAATATTTTTTGCATAATATTTTAATATAGTTATTTAATAAAAAATATTCAATTTTATGTAAATAACAATAAAAATCTCATTTATAAAACATATTTTTAAATTATTAATACTTTTAAAATAAATAATTTAAAAGAAAAGAAAGCGATTGAAAATTTAACGCATTGCTATTGCGTGCAGAAAACATTTTTCATTTCAAGGTGAAATCTCAGTTTTATACAAATACTATTAGGCCTATATAATTGTTAAATATAAAGAAAAGAAAACATTTTTTTTCATTGTAATAAACTTGACTAAATCTATTTAAATGTAACTTACTGTATTTAAAAAGAAATTTAATATTCTGCTGTTAATTTAGAAAATTTTACAGGGTTTTTCCTCTTTTATTAGGTAATATTATACATGTAGATGCGATTTCGTAAAACGATATTTAAAATATATATTAATACTTTAACAAGCGACTTAAAAAGCCGTATTTTTCCCATAGATTTATCATCGTATCATTAACAATTAGTATTTGTAGTATAACTTAGGCAATATTATGATGTAAAGGTAAATCGTAGATACATAATTTGCAATACAGTAGTACATTAATGACTTTATTGTCACGGAATCTGTAAATAAGCTTGCGTGTGTAAAAAGACTAATTTTTTTCACCTTGTTTTGAATATTCAAGTTTTTTAAATAAATGGACTTTCAAAGCTATTCTGCCAGTTGCATTCTAATTCTAATCACAACAGAATTGATAAAAGTCTTAAATTATAAATTTAACGAGTTTAAAGTACAGTAAATTATTTTAATTACGAAAAATTAATACATTAACATATTCGAATTTCGAAGCCTCTCATATAAAAGTAAATGTTGCGAAAAAGTTTATAGAGTGATAATAAACAAAACTTATTTTTAACGAGAAAAGATGAAAAAGTGGGTGTGCCTTCACGCGAAAAGGAAAGCGATAGCGAGCACCGAAAAACAGGACTACACGCGCAGCGTGTAGTCCTGTTTTTAAGTCGATTGCTTCGTGTCGCTGTGTCGCTGTGATTTAAGTCGATGCTTCGTGTCGCTGTATCGCTCGCATTGAGCGACGCAGAGCATCGAGTATAGGTAGTGTAGTAATACATTGGAAAAACTGACCTTTGTAGGCGAATATACAATTATGATTCCGTTGACTTTTTTTCATGTATGTACTGTACAGAGGAGTCTACTGTTTACGAAGGGTAAAAACTCATTCAGAGTTTACATCTTATCGAAGAGCTTGGTGAAACGTAAACAGTGTAGTTGTTTGTTGTTGAGTAGTGTTCTTTGTCACGTGTTACTACTTATTTGTTTACTTTAAAATATTAACTATCATTTAAATATTTATTAAATATCAATTTAATTCGTGAAAGTTAAATATTTCCTTTCAAAAAATTTTGGCCTTACGAAATCATTCATGGCCTTGGTCACGGTTCGGGTGTGGCCAATGAGCTGCCCACGTCGTGTTTTCCGGGTTTATTTCATGTTACTAACACCTAATTAGGATCCTGTTTCCCATAACCCTAATTCGGCAGATCTCTCAAGTGTCGAATTGCCTTAAACAAATAACCCAAACAAATTGTGACGAGTGATTATTTATTGTGACATCGTCACAATGCCGGGCTGCAACTTTTCGTCACAATGTTATCAATTGTTCTAAACTAATGTTGTTTTGTTTCTGTGCAATATACTTTTCCTGTTAGCAATTTAGTCTTGTCGGTCATTTATCTAACTGCATTCAGGAAAACTATTTGAATCGTAGTGACGTGAATTCTGCTAAAAATCAGTACCTCCACTTTCCTTTACGCTTTCCAGTCACGCTCTCTACGTTCACCTATGTAACAGATTTTTTGCAATTTAGGATGGACAGGCAGTCAGAAAGAGAGAGGACGACAGTCGCTATATATAAATCTACAGTTTATTCAAATTGCTGCCCAATAATCTTTATATAAAAGCAAATTTACGATAACACGCTATACACGTAGTTTATACAATCTGTTGCCAAAACTTAAACACTTTTTTTATCACATAAAAGCAATCATTCTCTCATTGTTACAAAGTTGTTTTTTATTTAAACAAATCTTATATGAAATCTTTCAGACGTCAAGGTTAGCAACTTCGGTGACACGCTAGGAGATCACAGCCTGTCTAACACGAATCACTTTTCAAATATTAATAGTAGACCAGTATTAAGTAGTAGTCGTCGACTGTCCTCTCTTCAGGGAGGAAGTGAATTACTACTTTTCGTCGAATTACTTTAACCTGTTTCCTCAACAGCTCTTTTTTCTATCGGATCGGCGGTATAATGGCCCAATTCGGATAGAAAAATTACACAATACGAAGTTACCGTTTAGTATAAAATATGATTTAAGTGGTTTTCCATAATGCTAAATTTAAATATTGGTTCCATTTTTTTTTTTACGAAATTTGATAGGTTAGCCGATTACCGTTTGATATTTGGCTGCAAATAGTACAGTTCGTTAGAGTTAACATTTTCAATTGATGTCTACTTGACCTATAAAATCTTCGTGTCATCCGATAAATATGACAATGGTAAGCTAAACTAATCATACACTTTTTATAGTTTTCGTTTTAAATGTTTGTTATATCAGTGTATTTGATTTATATAAATACAAAGGTTATCTCACGTAAGGGTTTATCACACCGAGTGATCAATCTACGCTTTTAAGAACTATTTATTTTTCTACTGTGTACAATTTAAAGAATTTTTAAAATGTGTTAGATTGGACACTCGGTGTGATAAACCTTTACCTAAATTAACCTTGGTAAATATAAATCAAATACTATAATAAAATATAATAGAACGGTTAGAAGTACGAAATAATCTAATAATCTTTATTGTTGTTGTTGTTACTTTTTGCTCGACAATGCCGTGTTCATATGCTAGTTATATATATAGGCCTACTTTTACATTGAATTCTTTACTTTTAATTTAGAATAAACTTTTTAATCTAAATATTTTATTCTGATTTAGTTGTTTTCATTTTTTAATTTGCAATAAATTTGTAAGTTTAATTGGCCACAGATTAATAATAATTTTCGTATATATAAAAGTTAATTGCAGTCAATTAGCTTTTTAAAATCGTTTTTGAGCGTTTCAGGATCCAGGTCAAAAGTGAACATATTTCGACTGATATATTATTAATGCATATCTGATTTCAGATAAAGTATAAAAATTGACAGTAACTTTTCAAACCAACATCATTAATCATGCAGTGTGATAAAGAGAAATTTTACGCAGTTAATCGATATTTATCTTCGAGTTTTCGTCACCTCGGACGGCTGATTGGACGTCATCCATTGTATTTTGTGATAATTCCGTTTCTATTCACTACACTCGCAGCTTTCGGTTTACTTAGGCTGCAAGTTATTAAAGATACTGAATATTTATTTGTTCCACCACACGGAAGAACGTTGAAAGCCAGATCAGATATTGAGAAGTTATTTCCGGAAAATGCTACAGACTTTGATTTTACACGAATGACAAGACTTAACGGTTTAAATATTATTATAGTCACACCTAAAGATGGAGGAACAATGATTCGTGAATACGTATTTGATGAATTGCAAATGCTGAACGAAAAGATTCTTAATGCAAAAATAAAATGGAATAGACAAAATATAACGTATTCCGATGTTTGTATGCGATCGAAAGAAGAGTGCTACCAAAATAATATAGGCCTATTGTCTTTAAAAACGAAATTTGAAGATTTCAGAAGAAAAACGATGAAAATTAAGTAAGTATTATAATTTTTTATATTTTGTTGTATTATTATTTTAATATTTCAGTTTAATTATATATTTATGCAACGCTATTTGAATTCTGAATGACTACCGCAGATTGGAATCGATGTTTGAGCCTATGATTTTGAAAGTGGGGCAAGTCCATTGGCGCATACGAAAACCTTGATTTGTTTCACCCAACACATATAACAATTAAAGGATATTATATTTACACGAAATAAGATCACAAAAATATAAAACAAGTCTGTTTTTGCTTAAGAACATTTTTAACTTTATCCAAACGCAAACAATTAAATATCTAGCAATAACATAAAATCTCACATCTCAGCTGTCCAATTCGTAAACGAGGAAAATGGTTGACAGGCGAATGTTTATAGAGTGATAAATCACTCGAGCGATGAGGGAGACAGATAAAATATGCCTGTAAAGATAAAAGAAACCGCTAGTGACGCTCTAATGCAGTTAGTACGAAGACATTCGATGAAACAAGATTCTTCGTATTAGAATTGGGTGTAGAATTTTTGCAAATTTTTCGTCTACGCCTATTTGTAGGGAAAATCATAAATGTGTTCAATGTGATGCCTAAATATCTCATAGTTAAACACGAGAAACATCGGATGGCTCACTGAGGCTTTACGGAATAACCATCAATTGAAAGATAGTTCGGTTGTGTTTTACCTAATTGGAACCTAATTTCTGAGCATGTAGTATAACTTATTTAAATTATAACGTCTATTATAATTTGTAATATTTCTGTAATAGTATTGCCGTTGTAGCTATGAATTAAACACTAAAACACCACGCTATTCAATACAACAAACGTGTTGTTTCACAAATAAGTCGTGGTAAATCTTTGTGACTCTATGATCTTTTCTTGCATCAATAAAATTATTTAATATGTATTTGTAGAAAGTGTAATGTATTAAATATAAATGTATTAAAGGTTAATTAAATTTAATGTAGCAAATGTATGTTTTTTGCATGGATTAACTGACTCAATGTCTCTATTTCTTTTTAACAGGTATCCGCTGGAGATGAATTCGTCGCATATTAACATGGATGCTATTGACTTAGGAGGAGTTTCAACTGACGAAAACTGTTTTATAACAGATTTTCATGCAGTTCGTTTATTCTATTTTGTCGACTACCATAATTCCAGCAAACAGGAAATTGCGAAAAAATGGAAAAAAGAAATTTTTAAAATAGTTTCTCAAAATTCCTTCAACCATATCCACGTATCATTACTGAATAGTATTAGTATCGACAGCGAAGTTGATAATATATTTGAAAATATCGTATGGCATATTATTATTGGTGGAACATCTATGATAACATTTGCAAGTGTAACTTGTCTGACGAAGGACTGGGTGACAAGTAAACCGCTGATTGGTATTTCCGGTTGTATTTCGTCCACGTTTGCTGTGGTAACTGCTTCTGGTCTGTTGCTCCTCTGCGGCATGAAATACTCCGGAGGCAATACGATTATTCCGTTTATAGTTGCAGGTTAGTATATAAAATACACTTTGAAAATTTTAAATACATTATACAATATAAATCAAAACTCTCAATTGCTTGAATATATTTTTGAGGTATCGGACTGGATGACTCATTTGTTCTGCTAGCTGCTTGGAGAAAAACTAATCCCAAAGATTCAGTTGAAAAAAGAATGAGTGAAACGTACTCCCAGGCTACCGTATCGATTACCATAACGTCTTTGACTAACGTTGCGTGTTCGTTAATTGCATTAACTACCCCGTTCAGAATTCTGCGTATAATTGGAAGTTACATGGCTTTAAGTATTTTCATAGATTACATCTACCAGGTTACATTCTTCGGCGGACTTCTTGCACTGGATGGTTATCGAGAAGCCAAAAAATTGCATGCAATACTCTTCGTTCATGTTAATTTGAACGAAAGACCATCAGGTAAGATAATAAATAAGCATTGAGCTAATCATAAAATAATTAGTTAACTTCTACTATAGAATGTTCACTGTTATAATTTTCTTTTACAATCCCGATTTATCCTAATTTTCTTGACCAGTGTATTCGAATGCGGGTTAAATAAATGTAGGAATATTACATAATTTTTTAACTCTTCTGTCAATGTTGGCGTTTTTATTGTTGTATTATTTAGTGAAATTACTAAAGAGCCGGTATTATTGTGATACCTCCATTTCTAAAGTAATAGTCGAGTTTAAAAAATTAGTAAGTTTATGATATTTAGGTCCAACGAATGCATTTTGTGAAATCTAAAAAACAAATGTTATTTTATCTTTTAATATTCTAATGAATACAGAGAAAAACATTGTTTGTTTCAAACTTCTGAAATGAAAATAATTATTAATAATTGTGATTTTATGTTTTACACTAGTATGTGCGAATTATTGCTCGAGTTTATGATGTGATGGTAATTGATGAGGTTGAGTTGGGAGAAAGTGAAAAACAACGTTGTTTGGGTTGAAAAATCCCCAATGCATTTTTGTTAGAATGCAAAAAATATTCAACTGCAATTTGGTGCGCATACGTCGAACTGTATTGAACTCTTTACCCAACATACATACAACATACATACAACGTACTACAGTACATACAGTAAAATGTCGGTATAACGAATATATCTCGAATATCCCACCAATTTTCAATTCAGCTGAATGTAAATATGTTTTAGTTTAACAAATACAGTTATAATGAAAATTTCAGTTTATTGTAATAAAAATTATGTCCGTTACGAAAGAATAGTTCCATTATAATTAAATTTATAAATGCATAAATTATTCATAATTAATAAATAATGAATATTACGTCAAACAGTCTAGCAACATTCATTTTAGTCTTTAGTTTTCGTCTCGTTGTAATGATATTACTCTACAGTTTATTACTTTTTAACTGATAAAATGTAATAACATGATATATTTCATAAATTTTACAAATTCTTCATAAATTGCAGCAGATCCAGATAGCATTTTACCGTAAGCAAGGAGTTTCATTTAACATAATCCCGTTACTTCATCAGGTTGTCAGACTTCAATTTTTAATCTGAGATCAAAAAATGTAGTTTTCATATACAGTAATGGGATTGTCACTAAATTCCACTTTGTAATTTTTATAAACGTAATTCTTAAGAAGAATTTAAGAACTATGATACTAATGGAACTTTCAAAGTTATTAAAAAACTAGCAGACCCCGCCACGCCTTGTTGTTGCTCAAAATGTATCTATTATAAATGTATAACACTTCCCCCGTGGGGGAAATTTCGAAAAATTTTTTCTTAGTGTACATTCTCTTGACGTACTCTATTAAAATGCTATCAAAAATGCAAAAAATCGCATCTAAAATAGTATAATAGAAGCGAAGTTCTTCAAAGTAAGCCTTAATCCTGTCCCTCTCCCCCCAGGGGAATATCGAAAAATCCCTTCTTAGTGTACATTCTGTTGACGTACCCTATTAAAATGCAATCAAAAATGCAAAAAATCCGTATCTAAAATAGTATAAATAGAAGCAGAGTTCTTTACGGTAAGCCTTTCCCATAAGGCTTACCGTAAAGAACTGTCCATCCCCCATGTTTAACGGAATAATATACAGCCTATGTCCACCCTGAAGTTCCATTCTAAATATTGGTGAAAAAATTTTTGAAATCGAATGAGTAGTTTTGGAGATTACCTGCTGCATCCAAACTTACTTACATACAAACATTACCTCTTTATAATATTAGTATAGATATATAAAATATAATGTAATTATTGATTTATTTTTCTAATAGGTTTTGTGGGATTTATGAAGTATGGCTGTTATTCGAGTAAAGATAACGAAAACAAGACAACAATGACTTGTTACAAAAACCATTTAGGAAAAATTCTAACGTTTCCAATTGTAAAAGCAGCTATTATTATTCTTTTTCTCTTGTATCTCGCTGGAGGAATCTATTTTACGAAATACCTACAACTCTCTATAGGAATCGATAGTGCATTTAACGAAAATTCTAATATAGTAAAATACATCCGTGATGAGAATTCATTTTATTCGCAATATCGCGATAGAATCCAAATAATTGTCACATCATCATTAGACTACTCCGATCCAAACATCCAGAATAATCTAGAGAAATTAACGACAGAACTGGAGAATTCTCCTCATATGGCCGGAAGTAATTTCACGGAATCCTGGCTGAGAATGTATCTAAAATTCATGAAAGATCCGCAGTTTTGGATTTCTCTCAGAGGATACAATTTGAGTCGACCCGAAGACTTCACCGATGCTTTACGTAGAGTATTTCTTAAATTCAAGTGGGCCAAACGTTTCAACAAGGACATTGTCTTCAGTGAAGATGGCTCTAAAATATTAGCTTCCAGATTTTTTATTCAGACGAAACTGGTTGATAATTTGCAGAAAGACAATGAAGTTTTTATTAATCTTTGGAATATAATAGATAAATATAATCTTCCGGTAAAGTGCTACAACTATCGATATATTTTCTTTGATTTTTTGATTGAGGCAGTTTCTACAACAACTCAATCAATAGCCGTTAGCTCTTGCGTAGTGATTTTGATATTTATCATTTTGATACCGAATTTGTTTTGTGCATTTTGTATTGCGCTCACAATAGTTTGTATTGAAGTGATCACTATAGGATATATGTCCGTATGGGATGTTACATTCTATCCAATAGTGACAGTATTTTTAATAGTGATCACCGGATTTTGCACGGATTATGCAGCTCATATATCGTACGCGTACGCAAAGAGTAAAGGAAAGAATCCGAATGAAAAACTGCGAGATTGTTTGGATGTTGCTGGTCACGCCATTGTGCAAGGTTGTCTTTCATCACTTTTGTGCGTTTCTATGTTAATATTCACTCCGTACACATTTTTGAAAGATATATTTAAAGTATGTTTCATATTTTTTATTTCTTCTGTAATTCAAGGGTTATGTATACTTCCAATAATGCTATCATTATGGGATAGTTTTCTGTTATTATTGTGTAAAAGTGAGGAGAGCCATCTTTCAAACGAAGAGTTTTCGGTTCGTCCGAATACGAATGAAGAGTTGTTAAAATAAATAATAATTATTTCGTCGTACTTAAAAAAGTGCTTCAGGAATGAAATAATAAATAGTCGAGGATAATAATTTGAAATGAAAACCATTCGTCATACGAAAGTCGTTATACGACTTCACAATGTGTGAATTCTTCAATTTGTACTTTATACATTCACATTTTTTTTTATTGGGATAATTGTTATTGTATTGTTTAAAACAATTTGTTTATGTATTAGAACTAAACACGGCCTGACTTGGTATCCTGCCGTAATGTTTATTGTAAATTTTTTAAATAAACGTGGTTCTTTGATAAAGGCGCTTCCTGTTTATTCGATAGCCTCGGTTAGAAAATGTCAATAAAATATAATGACTTATTATTCACATTATACATTACAAATTCACGTGTTAAACCTAAATATCTTTTCTGATATTCTTTCCTATTGGCATCAACAAAACATTTACAGTAGAGCGTCGATTTTCCGAAAGTCAATCATCCGAAAGAATTCCAGTTGGCAAATTTAAATTTTCACCAGTGCTGTGGCGCTTCAATCTTTGGCTATGTCTTGGGTTACTCAAATATTTTACGTTTTTGATACTAAATTAACATCTGAAGTATAATTTTTTATTATTTTTATATTTTTTAATATATTTATTTTGTTCGTACAAAATAAAAAAAAAATAATTTTTAACGATACAATAGTCTTTGTTTGGCTTAACATCGACGAAAATTCAACGCGAAGCGACACGCAACGGAGAAAAATTTCGACATCGGATACGTTAAACTATTTTCTCGTACGTAAATCAGTTATCCGAAATATCAGTTATCCGGACAACCCCAGTCCCCAATTGATTCGGAAAATCGACGCTCTACTGTATTTAAATTTACCTATTATAAGTTCTGCTAGGCCCACAATGGGCTGATGGTTGGGTGGTAATGGACGAGGACCGTGAAAATTTCACGGTGTTTTCATTACGCCATACATCTGCCCATCAAACTTCGACATAAGCTTTTACATTGTATTTGGTAATGGAAATTCTACGAAACGCCACAGAAATGTCTTCTTATTTGTAGATAATATTGAGTGGAAGAAACTAAATCTGCAATATATTTATACTTATACATTGATCAACACTAAGGTGGCTGCACACGTTGTTATCTCTCAGTGCGAAATTGTTTGTTATAAGGAAACGACTAAGAATACATTTAGATCCCGAAGTTATCTCCCATTTATATAAAATAGTTATTGTTCAAAAAATCACTTATAAAATAATTATATACAGAAACACCTGTAATTATATACTAGACAAAATACAAGTAATACGGAATAACTCAAATCGGAAGCTGTATCAATGTTGAAAATCAGTACAATTTCTTACCTCTGTATTAAAAATATGTACGTTCCAATAAGTTGCCACTCAGAAAATGTAGAAATTATTATTTATGAATCACAGACTTACCTGGGAAAGGTCTGACTCGGAATTAGGAGGTAGGAAGAAGTTCATTCCGAATAAGTCGGGCCACGTCCCTCACGATGGGCTTGGTCAAAAAGATTTTACGAGTAGCAAAATATGGAGTGATAATTGTCCAGAAATAAAGAAATCGGATTACAAAGCTACTGAATTAAATTTACAAAAGCTACACAGTTTATAATAAATGGAAAGTAATGCATAACAGCGATAATTTAACATCAAATAGAAAAATTACAGTCAAAAAGAAGAAAAATGTATTTGTTATCGACATATTTCATGAGTAATTAATATTTTTAATAAAATACTTTGACGTTAGAAAATCCACCGTATTCCGCAGGTAAACATATAATTACTCCAGCATTAATTTCCCAACTTGTTAAAAGAAAATAGTTTTTAAAATAATTTGTATCTCTTCACTTCATACGTTTAAATTTAACGTACAGTATAGTTTACCAACGAAGTTCTAAATCAATCGCTTTAACAGAAGGAATTTAAGTGTAAGAATAGAAAAAAAAAATGTATTTTTAGTATATTTAAGAATATATCAATTATATTATACTAATTTAATAGAATATCTAGGATTGTACATTATTATTTTGTATATTATTATAATATCGAATGTTGAATGATAATTGCGACAGGGGACTCGATTTTTTTGTGTTTGCAATGGAAAATATGACAAGCATTAAAAACGTTAAATTGTAAGATAGTTGCACAACAAATATAAAGAATCTTTATAGAATAAGTTATAAAAGAGTTTTATTTTTAAAATGTTGAATTTACAAAATCAGAAATTAATAAATTACGTAAAAATCATTAAAATATGTACAATTTATTTGTCGTTCGTCTACAAAATCTGCTTCCTGCACGCGCTGATAGAAGCGATAATTATCTGGTAATAGCTACACACTAAACACGTTTACTCCGGACAAGCACATTTGTTTGAACCGGTTTAACCTTCGCCTATCATCTAAGCCGCAACGAACGAACCCTTTCCATTTCAGTCATTACGAAATCAGAAAATTTCTTTTTATTTCTCTCTGAATATAACTAGTGCGTAAATTCTATAAAAGTACATAGAATACATGTGTGTTCCACTGCGTTAAAAGTATACCTGACGGTGTAAAATCTGTAATGGATGCGAAGGTGAAAGCAAAACAATTATCTGATTTCTGAATATTTCTTTAAAATTTTAATAAATTAATTAAAAAGAAATTGTTGAATTTTCTAATGGTAGCTGTATTATTTGTTAAATAAGTAAATGTCTCTTCAATTCGAAAAAAAAAATACTATAGATTGAATCTTTTCTCTTAAAAAAGCATCTTAAAAAGCATTTTCCACATGCTTTTTAAGAGAAGAACGTACTCCAAATACCTTAAAATTAAAAAGGACTATAAGACTGTATAAGGGTGAAGAAACACGTGGAGATTTTTAGGGTATTGGGAAATGTGTTTTTTGGTTTTGTAAACATTATCTACTCGTTATCTATTGTTTAATGTCAATTCAATAACTGAATTTTATTTTGTACCACTGAAGAGGGGTTATAAAATTGAACTTACCCGGTTCCGAGTAATATTTTGATCAATACGAAATATTTTTAAATGTAAGCAGAAATGAAAACGTTGAATAGTTTAATTATACTTTAATTTATTCGGCAAATTGAAAAACGATTTGAATACAATTTCCTTGCAATCTTATGTTTAATTAAAATTAATCAGAGACGTTTAATTAAGTATGAAAAAAGGAGGAAAAGACCACTTTTAAACAACCACTTTCCCAATAAAGCAATATAAAATTATTACTGAGTTGTTTGACTACTTTTATAAGACGAAAACATAATTGAAATTTCTCTTATATGTACAGAGGTACAACGTTAAATAAAGAGGAAATTTATTTAACGATTTATTCTTTAAAGGTACAATTTCAGGTAGCTACAAGAATTCTTTTATTAGGAAGTTCTATTCTGTAGATTATAAAGAGATAATGTAGAAGAACGTTTCCATTCTGTAGTGTTTACTACTTAGAGAACTTGCTACTTAACGAAGACACACGTAGAGTTTCCGGCGTAAGTAAATATAAGGTATGTATTTAATATTTTTTCGTACTTTTCTAACGTTTACTCTTTGAAGGAAGCTTACCACTGGCCGAGTGAATAAACCATCGATTATTGATAGTTGGTGGCTCAAAATCGGCATTGCTTTTCGGTTTCTTTTCTTGTGTTTAACACCCAAATAGGGAGCACTTTTTGCTCGGAAAATCAACGTTTTCTCGACGAGGATACAAACAGAAAACAAAGAAACGTCTTAAAATATATTTTTTAAGTAAAATGTTCTAGAATTAATTACCTTTAGAAATGAAATATATTTTGCATAATATTTTAATATAGTTATTTAATAAAAATATTCAATTTTATATAAATAACAATCAAACTCTTATTTCTAAAACATATTTTTAAATTATTAATACTTTTAAAATAAATAATTTAAAAGAAAAGAAAACGATTGGAAATTTAACGCTTTGCTATTGCGTGCAGAAAGCATTTTCCTTTTCAAGCTGAAATCTCAGTTGCATACGAATTAAATTATATAGGGGAGGACGAGACAACCTCGACACGATAAGAATAAGTTAAATTTTTTGTAACAAATAGTACTGAAAACTGAAAAAAAAGCATTATTTATTGTCCACGAGAATGTAATCTTATCATAGAACTGGTTAAAATCAGTTTTAGTCCACATGAGTCCACGGTTCACACCTGCAGCAGATAATCCACTTTTCTTGAGTGATTCCATATTTTTCATTGCAATATTTTCATCGTCATTTTCCGAGGGTTTAGAACTGTTCTGCCCCTTTTCTTTAGCGAACTTCGAATCCGATTTCTCCAAATTAATTGATCTGCAAGTTCATGATTTTTTAACTTTAGTCTTGGCTTCTATTGCGACTTTATATGGGAATGTAGTTATTTCTTCTGCTAGTTATTGTTTGTGGCCAAATCAAACCATTGCAAAACACGATCAGCAACAAGATCAGCACTTAACAAGCCGTCATTAAAACTCAACTGTCTAGCCTTTAAGGACGGTCGCGTTTTATTTTGTTTCAATGTAAATTTAATTGACGAACTTATTCCCGTAGTGAAGATCTTATTGCCGTTCCTTCCCAACTCCGTCTCGTTGAGTTGGTTTCTTGTGTATCACGACTCGATGTAATGAATCAGGTTCGTTGGAAAGCACACCTCCACACTCAAATTGAATATATTTATAGTTTATTTACAGTAGTAGAAAGTAGAAGTTAGAAAACATATCATATGTACAGGATAACCATGCGTGGTGAATTCACGTGCCAGGTTGGCGTCTGGGAACTAATAACCTTTGGAGAGACCTCAGTCAGATTGTGGAGTCGGCTCAACTGCACGGTCGGTCCGGTCTCAGCACTAACCCGTCCCTGAGAAGATCAACAGAGGAGAACACTCTCTCTACACTCAGCGGGCTTCCCAAGTGCCTGAGACAACCGTGTACCAGTTTCTTGCCCTTCTCTCTAGTCTCTCGTTCGCCCCGCAATTTAAGGGATTTTAGAACGGGAACTTCCGACCAATCGCAACCCTTTTTTATGCTCGAACAGCTGACACTCAGGTCCGCCGTCATCCGACGAGAGTGAAGCTTACACAAACGTCCGCCACTTGTTTACGTTCGTTTGTTTACAATATGGCAAATGTACTACCGTCTGACTGCAGGTGGGTCCAATTAACAAAGCCGGCGCTTCCTTTGTTTACCCTTGTTTTCAAGTCAATACCTTACAAGTGGTATTACCCGACCGCACGTGGGTTCAATTGACAAGGTCGCGCCTCTTTTGTTTCCACTCTGCTAAAAAAAGTCACTACTTTACACCCGTCCTCCCCTAATTGTTGAATATGCAAAAAAAAGATGTTTTCATTGTAACAAACTCGACTAAACCTATTTAAATGTAACTTTAATACTGTATATAAAAAGAAATTTAATATTCTGCTGTTAATTTAGAAAACTTTACAGGGTTTTACATGTATAAAATTACATCATAAAAGAGGAAAAACTGCATGTTTTTCATCTTTTATTATATAATTTTATATGTAGATACGATTTCGTAATACGGTGATGTAACCTTGATATGAAGTATCCTTAATTCTTTCAGAAATTACTGAATAAAGTACTACAAAACTGTTCGAATAAATTTTATTATGGAAAAACTTTAACTAAACACAAAATAATATTGCTGATACAATTACAGCTGTGAATGAGACGGTAGGAACCTTGTCAGAGCTGTATATCATACACATAGGAGCAAAAAAGTCAATGAAACCATACCTCTGCATGTGACTGACTATCTCGTTTAAATATTTAGCCCATGAAACACTGCAGGCTTTGAGGACCCAGGCTGTTTGTGGAGTACTTTATGACATCGAAGCGAGCACCGAAACACAGGACTACACGCGGAGCGTCAGTCGATACTTCGTGTCGCTCGCATTGATCGACCAAGAGCATCGACAATAGGCAGCGTAGGACATTGGAACAACTGGCCTTTGCATGCGAATATACAAGTACTATTTCTTTAATTTTTTCCACGTACAGAGAAGTCTACTGTTTATGGAGAGTGGAAAACTCCTCATTCAGAGTTTATATCTTATCTAAGAGCTTGGTGGAAACGTAAACAGTGTAGTTGTTTGGTGTTGAATAGTGTTCTTTGTCACTTATTTATTTATTTAATTAAATTTTATATTTATTTAATTACAGATATTAACTACCTTATAAATATTTATTGAATACCAATTTAATTTTTGAAACTACCTAAAAAATTTAAGGTGCAGTGAAGCGCATAAAAATATTAAATGAGCCGCAATGCGACCGCGGGCCGCGGGTTAGACATCCCTGGCCTTGGGAATGGTTCGATCGTGGCCAATAGGCTGGCCATGTGGAGTTTTCCGGATTTTTTTCACGTTAGTAACAGCTAATTCGGGTCCAGCTTTTGATAAAAGTCATCGCTTGATCCATCCCGCTCGGCAGTTCGCTCACGTGTCGCATTACCTTAACCAAATAAGCCAAACTAATTCTAACGAGCGATTATTTCTTGCAACATCGTCACAAGGTTATCAATGGTTTTAAATTAATGGTGTTTTGCTTCTGTACATTATACTTTTCCTGTTAGCAATTAAGTCTTGTCAGTCATTTATCTAACTGCATTCAGGGGAACATTTTGAATCGTACTGACGTGACTTCTGCTAAAAATCAGTACTTCCACTTCCCCCTACGCTTTTCAGTCACGCTCTCGACGTTCACGTATGTAACAGATTTTTTTGCGAATTAGGATGGACAGGCAGACACAAAGACAGAGGACGACAGTCGCTATATATAAATCTACAGTTTATTTAAATTGATGCCCAATAATTTTTATATAAAGGCATATTTACGATAACACGCTACACATATAGTTTATACCAGGGGTGGCCAACCTGCGGCTCGCGAGCCACATGCGGCTCTTTGAAGGATTATTTGTAGCTCTCGATAAATATACCCGAGTTCCCTTATCATTTTTGTGTTATTATATTTTAAAAAATTATTATCGTTTCGTATGTGGTTCAAAATGTCTTTTAAATTACTAACCGAATTATTTCAATATTCGGAACAACGTACTTATGTAAATCATTTTATTTCACTTTAAAATTCGTGAAATCCAAACACCGATCAGTATTAACTAACCAGCATCTGAAAGAATTACTCAGAAGTGCTGTGAACAATTATTCACCAAATTTTAAAGAATTATCAAAAGAAGTAAAATAAATGTGTTTAATTTTTAATATTTAAATTCAATACACATATTTTGTACTTTTATTTATATGTTTTCAATAAACATAATTTCTGTAAAAAAAATTTTTAATACCTTTTTTGCATACCTTTTTAATACGTATTTAATTGCGGCTCGCGAAAAATTTCAAATTTTGAAAAATGGCTCGGACTATCAAGGAGCTTGGCCACCCTGGGTTTATACAATCTGTTGCCAAAATTTAAACACCTTTTTTTATCACATAATAGCAATTATTTTCTCATTGTAACATCGTTTTTTTTTCTTTTTTAAACAAATCTTATATGAAATCTTTCAGACGTCAAGGTTAGCAACTTCGGTGAAACGCTGGGCGGTCACAACCTGTCTAACACGAATCACTTTTCAAATATATTATAATAATAGAAAAGTATTAAGTAGTAGTCTTCGACTGTCCTCTCGTTCGGGAGGAAGTGAATTACTACTTTTCATCGAATTACTTTAACCTGTTTCCTCAACAGCCCTTTTTTCTATCGGATCGGCGGTATAATGGCCCAATTCGAATAGAAAACTTACACAATACGAAGTTACCGGTCAGTATAAAATATGTTTTAAGTGGTTTTTCATGATGCCAAATTTAAATATTGGCTCCATTTTGTTACGAAATTTGATTGGTTAGCAGATTACCGTTTGATATTTGGCTGCGAATAGTACAGTTCGTTAGAGTTAACATTTTCAATTGATGTCTACTTGACCTATAAAATCTTCCTGTCATCCGATAAATATGACAATGGTAAGCTAAACTAATCATACACTTTTCATAGTTTTCGTTTTAAATGTTTGTTATATCATTGTATTTGATTTATATAACTACAAAAGTTATCTGACGTAAAGGTTTATCACACCGAGTGACCAATCTACGCTTTCAAAAATTATTTACTTCTCTACCGTACACAATTTAATTAAAGAACTTTTAAAATGTGTTAGATTAAACACTCGGTGTGATAACTTTTTTCCTAAGATAACCTTGGTAAATATAAATCAAATACTATAATATAATATAAAAATTAAAAGTACGAAATAATCTAATAATCTTAATCTTTGCTGTTGTTTTTTTTCGAGCAACGCTGGGCTCATCCGCTAGTTTCATGTATTTTAAGTAAAAAATATAAAAGTTATTTTTTAAATAAAGTAATATAACAGGAAAAAAAGTCATGCAACTCGTTGCTGAATTTTTTGATATAATGCAAGTTGAACCTGATTTATTCGAAGTCATTTTATTTCCCCAAATGCCCATCATGCAGATTTTCGAATGCTAGATGACTACCGCTAATTGCATTCGATGTTTGAACCGTTGATTTTGAAAGTGGGGCAAGTTTATTGGCGCATACGATAACCTTGATCCTTGATTTGTTTCACCTAACACAGATAACAATTACAGGATGTAATTCCAACTCCACTCGCGTTATGAAAAATGATCCTTTTTCATCTTCTACCCGTCAACCTATAATAACCAAAATTTATTAGCACGAATGTCATTAATACGTAAATTTCTCTTAAAAATTTCTTGTATTTTCGACAAAAGACACTCACATGTTATTAAGATTCGAATTGGTTGACCTTAGTCACACAGATATACACGCTAACATCTATACATATAAAAAACCCAAAGAACTCCGAAAATTTTTGCTTTTCTCGAGATTTCAAAATCCTCGTCCATATATGTAAAAAATTTTGGAATATCGTTTTCTGACCCATCGCCACACTGATCTATAATATATATAACAGTTGAAATATGATAAAAGCTCAATGAAAGAAACGAATTCTATAACTTTTTTGCATTATTTTAATAATAATAATCATTTCAAAAATGAGTCTGACATTTAAAATTATTCACATGCTGTGACGAGGTAAAATTAATTTCTAACAAATCCTTAAAGAAGAACCAACGACAGAAATGCACTGAATTTTACGAAAAATTCATAAAAATGCGCAGATTCTATAGTACAGTAACACAGATGATGGATATGATTATCATGGAATAAAATAATAATAATTTAAAATCAAAGAAAAGAAAATAATTTGAAGTCACTCATCAGTCACGCTAAAACACCATGTTACACAACACAACAAACGTGTTGCTTCACAAATAAGTCGTGATAAATCTTTGTGGCTCTATGATATTAACAGATTCAATATCTCTATTTCTTTTTAACAGGTATCCGCTGGAGATGAATTCGTCGCATATTAACATGGATGCTATTGATTTAGGAGGTGTTTCAACTGACGAAAACTGTTTTATAATAGATTTTCAAGCGGTTCGTTTACTCTATTTTGTCGACTACCATAATTCCAGCAAACAGGATTTTGCACATAAATTGGAAGAAGAAATTTTTAAAATAGTTTTTCAAAATTCCTTCAATCATATCCGCGTATCAATACTGAATAGTGTTAGTATCGACAGCGAAATTGATAATATATTTGAAAATATTGTACGGCATATCATTATTGGTGGAACATGTATGATAACATTTGCAAGTGTAACTTGTCTGACGAAGGACTGGGTGACAAGTAAACCGCTGATTGGTATTTCCGGTTGTATTTCATCCACGTTTGCTGTGGTAACTGCTTCTGGTCTGTTGCTCCTCTGCGGCATGAAATACACCAGAGACAATACGATTATTCCGTTTATAGTTGTAGGTTAGTATATAAAATACACTTTGAAAATTTTAAATACATTATACAATATAAATCAAAACTCTCAATTGCTTGAATATATTTTTGAGGTATCGGACTGGATGACTCATTTGTTCTGCTAGCTGCTTGGAGAAAAACCAATCCCAAAGATTCTGTTGAAAAGAGAATGAGTGAAAGGTACTCCCAGGCTACCGTATCGATTACCATAACGTCTTTGACTAACGTTGCGTGTTCGTTAATTGCGTTAACTACCCCGTTTAGAATTCTGCGTATAATTGGAAGTTACATGGCTTTAAGTATTTTCATAGATTACATCTATCAAGTTACATTCTTCGGCGGACTTCTTGCACTGGATGGCTATCGAGAAGCCAAGAAATTGCATGCAATACTCTTTGTTCCTGTTAAGTTGGATGAAAGACCACCAGGTAAGATAATAAATAAGCATTGAGTTAATCATTAAATAATTAGTTAACTTTTATGTATTGAATGGCATCTTACATTTACGTTTACTGTTGTAATTTTCTTTTACAATCTTGATTTATCCTAATTTTCTTGACCAGTTTATTCGAATGCGGGTTAAATAAATGTAGGAACATTACATAAATTTGTCAACTCTTCTGTCAATGTTGGCGTTTTTATTGTTGTATTATCTAGTGAAATTAAAGTTGTGAATATACTAAAGATCGTGTATTATTGTAATACCTCCATTTCTAAAGTAATAGACATGTTTAAAAATTTAGTAAGTTTATGATGTTCAGATCCAATGCTGAGACGTAGCTAGCGTGGAGCAGTTGGAGCAAACTGCCTCAGGCGCACGAGTCACGTGGGTGCCAAGTCAGAAAGGGCATAATAAAAACTTGTAAAAACATTTGTAAAAAATTTTTGGATTTAATAATTAATCAAATAACTATTAGACTTGAATCCGTTGGACAATTATGTACAGTACACCTTTTAAGTGCTTATCGCTTGTCGTGTCATCTGATAAAAATATTGTGGAACAATAATCGGCATATTTTTTCGACATTCGTCTAGTTTTGGACCTTGACTGCTTCGATTTAAAACATGTTTTTATAGTCGGGAAAAAGTAATTACTTCTGTAAATTAAGTTGCTGAACTAGTTTTATTTCACACTGCAGCCTGAAATAGGTTCTCCCACATTATTGCAGCATGCCTCATTTTCCAAAACTAAAATTAATCAAAACTTATTTAAGAAAGCAGCGTGTCACAACACTGTCTTAACGCTGGCTACTATATCCGGGGGTGGATCTACATAGGAACTAAGGGGCTTTCAAATGTCAAGGGCCGGCAAAAATTGAATCATTGTCATAAATTTTTAATACTTTTTCATTAACAATGAGCATTTATCATACAGTAAAAATAGTTAATATTAATAATAATATAATAATGATAATGTATGGTATTTTTTGTATTAACAAAAAATGAGCTCCCATTCGACTTCTCCTAATTTCAGCTCCGAGAAACCTAGATCCGTCCGAGTATATCAATCGAAAAAAGAATAGCTTATCAACTTGATCCGAAGAAAGTGATGAGCTCGGCGTTGCTCGGGGAAAAAGTAACGATACCAAAGATTAAGATTATTAGATTATAAGCGATCTTATTCGTTATAGAATTAGGTCCCACTCTTCCGAGACTAATTAAAGAATTTTTAGATAGGTCTAAAAATATGCTCGATTTCTCGCAAAAAACGCAAAATACTGCATCTAAAATAGTACAGTATAAGCAGAGTTCTTCGGGATAAGCTTTCTATCTCTTTCCCACGGGGAATTGCGAAAAATCCCTTCTTAGTGTACAGTACTTTAACTGTGTACCAAATTTCAACTTTCTACTCCTAACCGCTTGGCTCTGCGCTTATGTTTTAAAATTAAATGTTCAAAATAAATTTCGTGAGACCTCTTCCGAGGAAGGAGTCGCGCCGATTCAACTCGCTCCAGGCACTGAATCCAGTAGCCACGCCATTAATCCAATTAATGCATTTTGTGCAATCTATCTTTCTCTGAAATCTTCTGTTAATATCTTAATGAATACAGAGAAAAAACATTTTTTGTTTCAAATTTCTGAAATAAAAATAATTAATAATAATAGTGATTTTATGTTTTATACAAGTTGTATGTGCATGGTATTGCTCGAGTTTGTGAGGGTGTGCGAATCAATGAGATTGGTTTTGGAGAGGGTGAAAAACCATGGTCGTAAGTAAAATCCACATTTATTAAAACGATTATTATCAATGAAGATACCGCAAAACACAAAAAATTGCTCGAACTTATGTTAAGATAGGTACGGGTTTAGGAGCGATTGGGAGTGGAAACCCCAAAGTATTTTTGTTAGAATGTCGAAAAATATTCAACTGCAATTTGGTGCAGATACGTTGAACTGTATTGAACTCTTTACCCAACATACATACGTATATACAATACAGTTATAATGAAAATTTCAGTTTAACGTAATAAAAATTACGTCCGTTACGAAAGAATAGTTCCATTATAATTAAATTTATATATGTATAAATTATTCATAATTAATAAATGATGAATATTATGTCAAACAGTCTTGCAACATTCATTTTAATCGTTAGTTTTGGTCTCGTTGTGATGCTATTACTCTACAGCAGTGTTTTTCAACCTGTGGGTCGCGACCCCCAGGTGGGTCGCAAAGCCATACACGGGGGGTCGCGGGTAAAAGAAAAAGACAAGTGTTTGTAGGTCCTACACTACAATAAAAAAACTACAATTTCAGTGAGAGGCTGTGCCTGTTTATTTTACAGTACAATTAGTTTTTTGATCGATATTTAAATCTCAACAGAAAGAAAGTTAAATACGTAGTTTTTAAAATCAGTGACATATATTTTAATATGGGCGTGGGGGGTCGCCAAAATTTTTTAACTTGTAAAGGGGTCGCGTATTCAAAAAGGTTGAAAAACACTGCTCTACAGTTTACTTGTTTTTAAGTGATAAAAAGTGATAAAAACATGATTTAGCGTATTTTTAAAAAGTAAATCATATGATATATTTCATAAATTTTACAAATTCTTCATAAATTGCAGTAGATCCAGATAGCATTTTACCGTAAGCAAGGAGTTTCATTTTTACAAACGTAATTCTTAAGAAGTATTTAAGAACTAAGATACTAATTGAACTTTCAAAGTTATTAGAAATATATAAAATATGATATGATTATTTTTTAATTTTTTTAATAGGCTTCATGGGATTTATAAAGTATGGCTGTTATTCGAGTATAAATAACGAAAACAACGCAACAATGACTTGTTACAAAAACCATTTAGGAAAGATACTAACGTTTCCAATTGTAAAAGCAGCTATTATTATTGTTTTTCTCTTGTATCTCGCTGGAGGAGTCTATTTCACGAAATATATACAGCCCTCTACAGGATCCGATAGATCATTTAACGACAATTCTAATATACTAAACTTCTTTCGTAATGACAATACATTCTATCCACAATATCGCGATAGAATCCAGATAGTTGTTACATCATCATTGGATTACTCCGATCCAAACATCCAGAATAATATAGTGAAATTAACGACAGAACTGGAGAATTCTCCTCATATGGCCGGAAGTAATTTCACAGAATCGTGGCTGAGAATTTATCTGAAGTTCATTAAAAACCCACAGTTTTGGATTTCTCTCAGAGGATACAATTTGAGTCGACCCGAAGACTTCACCGATGCTTTACGCAAAGTATTTCTTAAATTCAAGTGGGCCAAACGCTTCAACAAAGACATTGTCTTCAGTGAAGATGGCACTAAAATATTAGCTTCCAGATTTTTTATTCAGACGAAACTGGTTGATAATTTGCAGAAAGACAATGAAGTTTTTATTAATCTCTGGAATGTAATAGATAAATATAATCTTCCGGTAAAGTGCTACAACTATCGATATATTTTCTTTGATTATATAATTAACGCAGTTCCTACAACAACTCAATCAATAGTCGTTAGTTCTTGCGTAGTGATTTTGATATTTATCATTTTGATACCAAATTTGTTTTGTGCATTTTGTATTGCGCTCACAATAGCTTGTATTGAAGTAATAACTATAGGATATATGTCCGTATGGGATGTTACATTCCATCCAATAGTGACAGTTTTTTTAATAGTGATCACCGGATTTTGTACGGATTACGCAGCTCATATATCGTACGCATACGCAAAGAGTAAAGGAAAGAATCCGAATGAAAAACTGCGAGATTGTTTGGATGTTGCTGGTCACGCGATTGTGCAAGGTTGTCTTTCATCACTTTTGAGCGTTTCTATGTTAATATTCGCTCCGTATGGATTTTTTAAAGATATATTTAAAGTATGTTTTATATTTTTTATTTCTTCCGTAATTCAAGGGTTGTGTATTCTTCCAATAATGCTATCGTTATGGGATAGTTTTCTGTTATTATTGTGTAAAAGTGAGGAGAGTCAGCTTTCGGACGAAGAGTTTTCGGATCGTCCGAATACGAATGAAGAGTTGTTAAAATAAATAATAATAATTTAGTTGTACATAAAAAAGTGCTTGAGGAATGAAATAATTTAAAAATTTCCTTGATCAATTCTATACTGTAAGGTTATTATAGTTTTGCTGTAATGAGCGTTTTAGCAGAAACAAACTTCTTACGAAAAAAAATTGTATTGCATATTCCAATGAGATTAACTACATTACTTAAAACGTTAGAAATCTCAGAAAAGTTAAATATTCTATGCATTACAAAGCGTTAATTTGTGAGCATTGACTTCTAAGAATGCCGCATTGTTCCGTCGTGTAATTTAACCTCCGTCCACGTATTTTTAAAAATGTTTATGAATTTGTTCTAATTGTTTTTATAATATTATTTGTAGTTAAATACAGATTATTGTTTACTAAAATTTTAAATGCTATATTCACTTGTTTAAACGGTAAATAATAACTGATCTGATAGCCACTGTATTTATAGCTTAACAAAGGATTTCCAGGTATCTTGCAGTTTTAAAAGCAAAGCTGTGCATATTTTACCTGCGAATTGATAATTTCAATTGTTTAAGGACTTTTTTTTATAAATAGTCAAAGATAATAATTTGAAATGAAAACCATTCGTCATACGAAAGTCGTTATACGACTTCACAATGTGTGAATTCTTCAATTTGTACTTTATACATTCACATTTTTTTTCTTGGGATAATTTTTATTTTATTGTTTGAAACAATTTGTTTATGTATTAGAACTAAAAACGGCCTCACTTTGTATCCTGCCGAAATGTTTATTGTAAACTTTTTAAATAAACGTAGTTCTTTGATAAAGGTGCTTCCTGTTTATTCGATAGTCTCGGTTAAAAAATGGCAAAAGAATATAATAATTTATTAGTCATTCTGTTTTCATTTGTCTACAAAATTTGCTTCCTGCACGCGCGTGTAGAAGTGTCATCTGGTGTTCGCTACACACTACTGTAAATGCGTTTACTCCGGACAAGCACATTTGTTTCAACCGGTTTGTCCACTCCTCTTATAAGCGCATTCACGCCTACCGATGCTGATGTAGGGCGTAACCTAAGCCGTAAACAACTTCAATTTGTGTTTATATGTACAGTACAGAGGTACAACGTTAAATAAAGACGAAATTTATTAAATGATCCATTCTTTAAAGGTAAGATTTCAGCTGGTTACAAAAATTCTTTTATTATGAAGTTCTATTATGTAGATTGTAAACAGACAATGTATAAAAACGTTTCCATTTTGTAGTGGAAACTTTTTTCTACATAAATAAGGTTATCATACATTGAAATATTGAAAGAACTGGGAAGGTAATATAGTAACATTCAGCCCGATTGTAAACTCTCTCACGCGTTAGGTTTAATTTAGTTATTAGTGACTTAGGTTTAAGTACGATTTGTTATCCATTCATTTGCATACTTTTAATATTTTGGTTAATTAAATGTTTTAGTTTATTACATAAATATGGCCTGGTTAATGCTAGATATTCACACTTCTTCCTATTCAAGTTACTTGCTTTCCTCGTACTCACAAGTTAGTGATAACGCGTGTTAATCCGCATTTAAGAAAACTGATTAACTGGTGTCAACATCCTGACGTGGATCTGAATTTTACAATTTGGATCTCTTTTAAACGCCCCCAAGGCCATCCCAGAGACCAGATCTCTCGATCTGCGCCGATTAAGTGCTACATTCAGCTCTGTCTGACTTTTGTACCCCCGGTTAATCTCACACATATATGTATTGTATTGTGTGAGAACGAGTCGAAACTAAAATTTAATTAAAATTAATTAATGGCGAAAACGCTATTGTCAAGTCGGACCAAAGATCAAGATGGTTATGTAAGAGAGAGGAGGGAAAAAAACTGCAGTAGTCAAAACAAACGGATCAGATACAACTCTGACACGAGCGTACGATAATAGGGGTTCAGAGTTAAAAATTCGGAAAAGGGGAAAGATTTGACGGTTAAAAAACATCACGTGCGACCATAAAAATTTTAAAATGACAGAAAATAGAAACAACGGTCGTTATTATGAGCGCACGGCTTATAGTTCTATCAACAATCTCCGATCAGAATCGACGAAAAGGAGTCGGATTGACACATGGAAACGGACCTTTCTCGTGACCCAATCGAGTCTCGGGGTTCACCTAAAGACAAATGAGAAACCCATGGGAAAGAGAGGAACGTGACTTGAGCCAATCAAAAATATTGATGGAAAACAAACTATATAAACCGAAAATTTAAGGTCGAAACGGCCGTCTCCTGAAAAAAGGGTCGTCAGTCGCGGAAAAGTTGTGTTGTGCTCAGTGACTCATCGGCCACCTCGGACGCCGAACACCTTCGCCTATCATCTGAGCCGCAACGAACGAACCCTTCCCATTTCAGCCATTACGAAATCAAAAAATTTGTTTTTTTAAATAGAACTAGTGCAAAAAATTCTTTAAAAGTATATAGAAAGCATGTGTTCCACTGCGTTAATGGTATACCTGACGGTGTAAAATCTGTAATGGATGCAAAAATGTAAGCAAAACAATTATCTGATTTCTAAACATTTCTTTAAAATTTTGATAAACTAATTAAAAAGAAATTGCTAAATTTCCTAATGGTAGCTGTATTATTTGTTAAATAAATAAATGTCTCTTCAATCCGAAAAAAAATTCTTCGGATTGAATCTAAATCTTTCCTCTTAAAAATGCATCTTAAAAAGCTCTTAAAAAGCAATCTTTCAGATGCTTTTTAATGAAGAACATACTCCAAATACCTTAAAATTAAAAAGGAATATAAGACTGTATAAGTGTGAAGAAACACGTGGAAATCCTTAGGATATTGGGAAATGTGTTTTTTGGCTTTGTAAACATTATCTACTCGCGTTGTTTTATGTCAATTCAATAACTGAATTTTATTTTGTAGCACTGAAGAGGGGCTAGAAATTGAACTTGCCCGAAATGCATCTGTAGGAAAATAATAAAGGAGTTTTATAACCTGAACAGCTCGTGGCCTCTTTGTGCTCTCTGGGCGGTAAGGGGCCTAAAACGACAAATAAAAAAAAAAAAACTGAAGAGCTGTGAGACAATCTACCGAAGGATTTCATTTTTTCGGATTGAAGAGACATTTACTTATTCAAAAAAATTTTTATTAAATTTTAAAATTTATTTTCTATACTTTTAATACTTCATTAATTTATAGCGTATAGAATGTTATGAATTTCCCATGTTTAATTACAAACACCTTTGAGTTCCGAGTAATATTTTGATCAATACGAAATATTTTTAAATGTAAGCAGAAGTGAAAACATTAAATAGTTTAATTTACTTTAATTTATTCGGTAAATTGAAAAACGACTTGAATACAATTTCCTTAAAATCTTATGATTAATTAAAATTAACCAGAGACGTTTAATTAGGTATAAAAAAAGGAGGAAAAGACCACTTTTAAACAACCACTTTAACAATAAAGCAATATAAAATTATTACTGAGTTGTTTGACTACTTTTATAAGACGAAAACGTACTTGAAAATTCTCTGTGTACAGACGTACAACGTTAAATAAAGAGGAAATTTATTTAACGATTTATTCTTTAAAGGTACGATTTCAGCCGGTTACAAATATTCTTTTAGGTAGTTCTATTCTGTAGATTGTAAGAAGACAATGTAGAAGAACGTTTCCATTCTGTAGTGTCTACTACTTAGAGAACTTGCTGCTTAACGAAGACACACGTAGAGTTTCCGGCGTAAGTAAATATAAGGTATGTATTTAATATTTTTTCGTACTTTTCTAACGTTTACTCTTTTAACAATGCTTACCAGTGAATAAATCATTGATTATTGATAGTTGGTGCCTGAAATTCGGCATTGCTCTTCGGCTTTGTTTCATGTGTTTAACACCCAAACACGGAGTACTGTACTTTATGCTCGGCAATCAACGTTTTCTCGACGAGGATACAAACAGAAAACAAAGAAACGTTTCAACTTTGAAAGTAAAATTCTATAATTTAATTACATTTAAAAATGAAATATTTTTCTATAATATTTTAATATAGTTATTTAATAAAAAATATTCAATTTTATATAAATAGTAATAAAAATCTCATTTATATAACATATTTTTAAATTATTAATACTTTTAAAATAAATAATTTAAAAGAAAAGGAAGAGATTGAAAATTTAACGCATTGCTATTGCGTGCAGAAAACATTTTCCATTTCAAGGTGAAATCTCAGTTGCATACAAATACTATTATATAATTGTTAAATATGAGAAAAAAAACATTTTTTTTTCATTGTAATAAACTTGACTAAATCTATTTAAATGTAACTTACTGTATTTAAAAAGAAATTTAATATTCTGCTGTTAATTTAGAAAACTTTACATGTATAAATGTACCTAATAAAAGAACTTCCTACATGTATAAAATTACCTAATAAAAGAGGAAAAACATACAGTTTTTCCTCTTTTATTAAGTAATTTTATACATGTAGATACGGTGATGTGACCTTGATATGAAGTATCATTAATTCTTTCAGAAATTACTGAATAGAGTACTACAAAGCTGTACGAATAAATTTTATTATGGAAAGACTTTAACTAAACACAAAATAATATTGCTGGTACAATTACAGCTCTGAATGAGACGGTAGGAACCTTGTCAGAGCTGTATATCGTACACATAGGAGCAAAAAAGTCAGTGAAACCATACCTCTACATGTGACTATTCCCGATATACAAGCTCTCGAGCAGCGTCTCTAAGACTATCTCGATTAAATATTTAGCCCATGCAACACTGCAGGCTTTGAGGTAACCAATAGCCTGTTTGTGGAGTACTTTATGACATCGAAGCAGGCGAATATACAAGTAGGATTCCTTTGACTTTTTTCCACGCACAGAGGAAACTCTGTTTATAGAGGGTGGAAAACTCCTCATTCAGAGTTTATATCTTATCTAAGAGAAGGGTGAAACGTAAACAGTGTAGTTGTTTGTTGTTGAATAGTGTTCTTTGTCACGTGTTACTACTTATTTATTTATTTAATTAAATTTTATATTTATTNACTGCCTACATGTATAAAATTACCTAATAAAAGAGGAAAAACATACAGTTTTTCCTCTTTTATTAAGTAATTTTATACATGTAGATACGGTGATGTGACCTTGATATGAAGTATCATTAATTCTTTCAGAAATTACTGAATAGAGTACTACAAAGCTGTACGAATAAATTTTATTATGGAAAGACTTTAACTAAACACAAAATAATATTGCTGGTACAGTACAGAGGTACAACGTTAAATAAAGAGGAAATTTATTTAACGATTTATTCTTTAAAGGTACGATTTCAGCCGGTTACAAATATTCTTTTAGGTAGTTCTATTCTGTAGATTGTAAGAAGACAATGTAGAAGAACGTTTCCATTCTGTAGTGTCTACTACTTAGAGAACTTGCTGCTTAACGAAGACACACGTAGAGTTTCCGGCGTAAGTAAATATAAGGTATGTATTTAATATTTTTTCGTACTTTTCTAACGTTTACTCTTTTAACAATGCTTACCAGTGAATAAATCATTGATTATTGATAGTTGGTGCCTGAAATTCGGCATTGCTCTTCGGCTTTGTTTCATGTGTTTAACACCCAAACACGGAGTACTGTACTTTATGCTCGGCAATCAACGTTTTCTCGACGAGGATACAAACAGAAAACAAAGAAACGTTTCAACTTTGAAAGTAAAATTCTATAATTTAATTACATTTAAAAATGAAATATTTTTCTATAATATTTTAATATAGTTATTTAATAAAAAATATTCAATTTTATATAAATAGTAATAAAAATCTCATTTATATAACATATTTTTAAATTATTAATACTTTTAAAATAAATAATTTAAAAGAAAAGGAAGAGATTGAAAATTTAACGCATTGCTATTGCGTGCAGAAAACATTTTCCATTTCAAGGTGAAATCTCAGTTGCATACAAATACTATTATATAATTGTTAAATATGAGAAAAAAAACATTTTTTTTTCATTGTAATAAACTTGACTAAATCTATTTAAATGTAACTTACTGTATTTAAAAAGAAATTTAATATTCTGCTGTTAATTTAGAAAACTTTACATGTATAAATGTACCTAATAAAAGAACTTCCTACATGTATAAAATTACCTAATAAAAGAGGAAAAACATACAGTTTTTCCTCTTTTATTAAGTAATTTTATACATGTAGATACGGTGATGTGACCTTGATATGAAGTATCATTAATTCTTTCAGAAATTACTGAATAGAGTACTACAAAGCTGTACGAATAAATTTTATTATGGAAAGACTTTAACTAAACACAAAATAATATTGCTGGTACAATTACAGCTCTGAATGAGACGGTAGGAACCTTGTCAGAGCTGTATATCGTACACATAGGAGCAAAAAAGTCAGTGAAACCATACCTCTACATGTGACTATTCCCGATATACAAGCTCTCGAGCAGCGTCTCTAAGACTATCTCGATTAAATATTTAGCCCATGCAACACTGCAGGCTTTGAGGTAACCAATAGCCTGTTTGTGGAGTACTTTATGACATCGAAGCAGGCGAATATACAAGTAGGATTCCTTTGACTTTTTTCCACGCACAGAGGAAACTCTGTTTATAGAGGGTGGAAAACTCCTCATTCAGAGTTTATATCTTATCTAAGAGAAGGGTGAAACGTAAACAGTGTAGTTGTTTGTTGTTGAATAGTGTTCTTTGTCACGTGTTACTACTTATTTATTTATTTAATTAAATTTTATATTTATTTAATTACAGATATTAACTATTTTTTAAATATTTATTGAATATCAATTTAATTCTAAAAAAGTACCTAAAAAATTTAAAGTGCAGTGAGACGCATAAAAATATTAAGTGAGGCGCAATGCGACCGCGGGCCGCGGGTTAGACATCCCTGGCCTTGGGAATGGTTCGATCGTGGCCAATGGGCTGACCATGTGGAGTTTTCCGGGTTTTCTTCATGTTAGTAACAGCTAATTAGGGACCAGCTTCTGATAAAAGTCATCGCTTGATCCATCCCGCTCGGCAGTTCGCTCACGTGCCGCATAACCTTAACCAAATAAGCCGAACTAATTCTAACGAGCGATTATTTCTTGCAACATCGTCACTATGTTATCAATGGTTTTAAATTAATGGTGTTTTGCTTCTGTACATTATACTTTTCCTGTTAGCAATTGAGTCTTGTCGGTCATTTATCTAACTGCATTCAGGGGAACATTTTGAATCGTACTGACTTGACTTCTGCTAAAAATCAGTAGTTACACTTCCCCCTAAGCTTTCCAGTCACGCTCTCTACGTTCACCTATGTAACAGATTTTTTGCGATTTAGGATGGACAGGCAGACACAAAGACAGAGAACGACAGTCGCTATATATAAATCTACAGTTTATTTAAATTGCTACCCAATAATTTTTATATAAAGGCATATTTACAAAAACACGCTACACATGTAGTTTATACAATCTGTTGCCAAAATTTAAACACTTTTTTTAACCATATAATAGCAATTCTCATTGTTACATTGTTTTTTTATATTTAAACAAATCTTATATGAAATCTTTCAGACGTCAAGGTTAGCAACTTCGGTGACACGCTGGGCGGTCACAACCTGTCTAACACGAATCACTTTTCAAATATTAATAGTAGACCAGTGTTAAGTAGTAGTCGTCGACTGTCCTCTCTTCCGGGAGGAAGTGAATTACTACTTTTCGTCGAATTACTTCAACTTCTTTCTGCAGCAGTTTTTTTTTCTATCGAATCAGCGGTATAATGGCTTAATTCGAATAGAAAAATTACACAATACGAAGTTACCGTTTAGTATAAAATATGTTTTAAGTGGTTTTCCATAATGCTAAATTTAAATATTGGTTCCATTTTTTTTACGAAATTTGATTGGTTAGACGATTACCGTTTGATATTTGGCTGCGAAAAGTACAGTTCGTTAGAGTTAACATTTTCAATTGGTGTCTACTTGACCTATAAAATCTTCGTATCATCCGATAAATATGACAATGGTATGCTAAAATAATCATACACTTTTTATAGTTTTCGTTTTAAATGTTTGTTATATCATTGTATTTGATTTATATAAATACAAAAGTTATCTCACGTAAGGGTTTATCACACCGAATGATCAATCTACGCTTTTAAGAACTATTTATTTTTCTACTGTGTACAATTTAAAGAATTTTTAAAATGTGTTAGATTGGACACTCGGTGTGATAAACCTTTACCTAAATTAACCTTGGTAAATATAAATCAAATACTATAATAAAATATAATAGAAAGGTTAGAAGTACGAAATAATCTAATAATCTTTATTGTTGTTGTTGTTACTTTTTGCTCGACAATGCCGTGTTCATATGCTAGTTATATATATAGGCCTACTTTTACATTGAATTCTTTACTTTTAATTTAAAATAAACTTTTTAATTTAAACACTTTATTCTGATTTAGTTGTCTTTATTTTTAAATTAGCAATAAATCTGTAAGTTTAATTTAGTTCGTTACAGATTAATAATAATTTTCGTATATGTAAAAGTTAATTGTAGTCAATTAGCTTTTTAAAATCGTTTTTGAACGTTTCAGGATCCAGGTCAAATGTGAAGTCTTGAACATATTTCGACTGAAATATTATTAATGCATATCTGATTTCAGATAAAGAATAAAAATTGACAGTAACGTTTTAGACCAAAATCATTAATCATGAAGTGTGATAAAGAGAAATTTTACGCAGTTAATCGATATTTATCTTCGAGTTTTCGTCACCTCGGACGGCTGATTGGACGTCATCCATTGTATTTTGTGATAATTCCGTTTCTATTCACTACACTCGCAGCTTTCGGTTTACTTAGGCTGCAAGTTAATAACGATACGGAATATTTATTTCTTCCACCATACGGAAGAACGTTGAAAGCCAGATCAGATATTGAGAAGTTATTTCCGGAAAATGCTACAGACTTTGATTTTACACGAATGACAAGATATAAAGGATTAAACATTATTATAGCCACACGTAAAGATGAAGGAACAATGATGCGTGAATACGTATTTGATGAATTGCAAATGCTGAACGAAAAGATTCTTAATGCAAAAATAAAATGGAATGGACAAAATATAACGTATTCCGATGTTTGTATGAGATCGGAAGGAGAGTGTTACCAAAATAATATATTGTCTTTAAAGACGAAATTTAAAGATGTCAAAAAAAATAGGATGAAAATTAAGTAAGTATTATAATTTTTTATACCTTGTTATATTATTGTTTTAATATTTCAGTTTTATTATATATTTATGCAACACTATATGAATACTAGATGACTACCCCTGATTGCAATCGATGTTTGAGCCTATGATTTTGAAAGTGAGGCAAGTCAATTAGCGCATACGAAAACCTTAATTTGTTTCACCTAACACAGATAACAATTACAGGATATTATATTTACATCAAATAACATCACAAAAATATAAAACAAGTGTGTTATTGGTTACGAATATTTTTAAACCCATCGAAATAGTGTTGTACAGTACTTATGAATTTAAACAACTCTAAATAATATCAACTAATCCCGATAAAAATGCTAAAGTTAAATGTAAAGTCATCTGTTATGGAAATGAGTTTCAGAAATATATATTATAAATGCTAATAATGCGTAAAAACTTGGAAATGTTTAATTCCAATCCAGATATGAAAAATGATTTTTTTTTATCTTACTACCCGTCAACCTATAATAATTAAAATTTAATAGCACGAATGTCATTAATACGAAAATCTCTCTTAAAAATTTTGTGAATTTTCGACAAAAAACACACACACGTTATTAAGATTCGAATTGGTTGACCCTAGTCACACAGATATACACACTAACATCTATAGATATAAAAAAAACCCCAAAGAACCCCGAAATTGTTTGCTTATCTCGAGATTTTAAAACCCCCCGTCCATAAATGTAAAAAATCTTGGAAAATCATTTTCTGGCTCATCGCCATACTGATCCTCTATAATATATATAACAGTTAGAAATGTAATAAAAGCTCAATGAATCAAACGAATTCTATAACTTTTTTAGCATTATTTTAATAATAATGATCATTTAAAAAATGAGTCTGACATTTAAAATTATTCACATGCCGTGACGAGTTAATCGAAAATTAATTTTTAACAAATCCTTAAAGGAAAACCAACGACAGAAATGCACTGAATTTTATTAAGAATACATAAAAATGCGCAGATTCTATGGTACAGTAACACAGATGATCGATATGATTATCATGGAATAAAAGAATAATAATTTAAAATAAAAAAATAATAATAATTTGAAGTCACTCATTAGTGACACTAAAACACCATGTTATACAGTACAACAAACGTGTTGTTTCACAAATAAGTCGTGATAAATCTTTGTAGCTCTATGATCTTCCTCTGCATCAATAAAATTATTTACTATGTATTTGTAGAAAGTGTTAGGTATTAAATATAAATGTATTAAAGGCTAATTAAATTAAATGTAGAAAATGTATGTTACTGTATTTGCATAGATTAACAGATTCAATATCTCTATTTCTTTTTAACAGGTATCCGCTGGAGATGAATTCGTCGCATATTAACATGGATGCTATTGATTTAGGAGGGGTTTCAACTGACGAAAACTGTTTTATAACAGAGTTTAAAGCGGTTCGTTTACTCTATTTCGTCGACTACCATAATTCCAGCAAACAGGATTTTGCAAATAAATTGGAAGAAGAAATTTTTAAAATAGTTTCTCAAAATTCCTTCCATCATATCCGCGTATCATTACTGAATAGTGTTAGTATCGACAGCGAAATTGATAATATATTTGAAAATATTGTATGGCATATTATTATTGGTGGAACATCTATGATAACATTTGTAAGTGTAACGTGTCTGACGAAGGACTGGGTGACAAGTAAACCGCTTATTGGTATTTCCGGTTGTATTTCATCTACGTTTGCTGTAATAACTGCTTCTGGTCTGTTGCTCCTCTGCGGCATGAAATACACCGGAGGCAATACGATTATTCCGTTTATAGTTGTAGGTTAGTATATAAAATACAGTAGAACCTCCATTATCCGGACCTCCATTATCCGGATTTTCGGTTATCCGGATTGTTCAAAATAAACAAAAATTTTACGAATTTGCTGATTTGCACTTGGCGAATTACGATACTGTTTATGTACGTGATGGAGTGCATAACATTTTTTGTTTCAACAACGTCTCACCAGGCACAGTGGCCGTAAACTCTTAAATATATTTTACGTAGTAATAAAAATATAACTTGACATACGTATTTATAAATAATTTATATTCAAATTACATCATTTCTATGACCAAGGGCGGCGTAAGGCATGGACGACGTGGGCCACCGCCTATGCCTCGCGGTCCGAAGGGCCTCGCGCCTCGAAGGTTTATGCATTACTTAAAAGCCGCGAACGCGACGAAAAAATTTTACTCGTCATAAAACGATAAATAGTTTGTCAAATTTTTATTCATAAAAATGCAGTTTCAACTGCTTTTTATTTTATAAAATCCGTCTTCTTGCGCCACCAGAGGGCCTTTTAAACAATAGGTAGTCTGTTAGCGTTGGTCAGTAGTAGTCCAAATTCAATACGAACGTCTGTTTCTTGAAAATTTGATCACGATTTAAATACATTATTTACTTTTAATATTACTGATATGTCATCGAAAAGAAAACGTGTTGTATTATCATTAAAAGACAAATTAAAGTATTTGTTTCGATTATCCGGATTTTTCCTTATCCGGACTACCTTCATCCCCAATTAGTCCGGATAATCGAGGTTCTACTGTACTCTATAAAAACTTTTAATATATTGTTCAATATAAATCAAAATTCCCAATTGCTTGAATATATTCTACAGGTATCGGACTGGATGACTCATTTGTTCTGTTAGCTGCTTGGAGAAAAACCAACCCCAAAGATTCTGTTGAAAAGAGAATGAGTGAAACGTACTCCGAGGCTACCATATCGATTACCATAACGTCTTTGACTAACGTTGCGTGTTCGTTAATTGCGTTAACTACCCCATTTAGAATTCTGCATATAATTGGAAGTTACATGGCTTTAAGTATTTTCATAGATTACATCTATCAAGTTACATTCTTCGGCGGACTTCTTGCACTGGATGGTTATCGTGAAGCCAAGAAATTGCATGCAATACTCTTCGTTCGTGTTAATTTGAACGAAAGACCATCAGGTAAAATAATAAATAAGCATTGAGTTAATCATTAAATAATTAGTTAACTTTTATGTATTGAATGGCATTTTACATTTACGTTTACTGTTATAATTTTCTTTTACAATCCCGATTTATCCTAATTTTCTTGACCAGTTTATTCGAATGCGGGTTAAATAAATGTAGGAACATTACATAATTTTGTCAACACTTCTGTCAATGTTGGTGTTTTTGTTGTTGTATTATCTAGTGAAATTAAAGTTGTAAATATACTAAAGATCGTGTAAAGATTGTGATACCTCCATATCTAAAGTAATAGGCGTGTTTAAAAATTTAGTAAGTTTATGATGTTTAGTTTTTTTATAGTCGGGTAAAAGTAATTACTTCTGTAAGTCAAGTTGCTGAACTAGTTTTATTTCACACCGCAGCCTCAAATAGGTTCTCCCACATTATTGCAGCATGCTTCATTTTTTAATTTTACGGGAGACGAAAATGACAGCAGAAACAAGTTTTTCAAAACTAAAATTAATGAAAACTTATTTAAGAAGCAGCGTGTCACAACACCGTCTTAACGCTTGCTACTATATCCGAAGGTGGATCTACATAGGAACTACGAGTAATACGGCCTCCAAGTGTCAAGGGCCAGCAAAAATTGAATTATTATCATCAATTTTTATACTTTTTCATTAACAATGAGCATTTATCATACAGTAAAAATAGTTAATATTAATAATAATATAATGATGATAATTTATGGTATTTTTTGTATTAACAAAAAATGAACCCCCGTTCGACTTCAGTATGCCCTAGGTCCCGAAAAACGTAGATCCGTCCGACTATATCTATTGAAAAAAACAATAGCTTGTCAACTTGATCTGAAGAAAGTGATAAGCTCGGCGTTGCTCGAGGAAAAAGTAACGATAGCAAAGATTAAGATTATTAGATTACTAGCTGTTTCCGCGACTTCGCCCGCGGAGGTTTTGCAAGCAAACTCCATTTATGTTCAGTATTTTAACAACCATAATAATTGTTATATAGTACCTACCGTCGAGAATGATGACAATTGCTGAGAATCAAACTATTTTTAATTTGATCACTTTTCTGGAACGTTTACAATCGTTCTATAATCGAACCGATACGCAATAGCAAATTCGAATTTAAGAAGGTTCGAACATTTCGTTAAAAAATCGAAATATATAAAAATATTTATAACAATATCTGAAATGTTATTAATTTAATACACTTAAGTACTTAATGAAGACTAAGCGTTAAAAAAATCGCATGTAAAATAGTACAGTAGAAACTGTTCTTCCGGTTAACACTTAATGCTCTTCCTCTCCCCCCGCTGGGGAATTTCGAAAAATCCCTTCTTAGTGTGCGTTTTCATGACATACCCTAACTGCGTACCAAATTTAGTTTCTTTAGGTTCAGCGGTTTGCTGTGGGCGATAATGAATCAGTGAATCAGTCAGGACAAGCAATTTTAAATACAGATAAGCGATCTTATTCGTTTTCACTGGGTACAAGAATTAGGTACCACTCTTCCGAGACTAATTACAAAATTTTTAAATGGATCTAAAAATATGCTCGATTTCTCGGAAAACGCAAAATACTGCATCTAAAATAGTACAGTAGAAGCACAGTTCTTCAGGATGAATTTCCTCTTCCTCCCTTCGCTGGGGAATTGAGAAAAATCCCTTCTTAGTGTACAGTACTTTAACTGTGTACCAAATTTCAGCTTCCAACTCCTAACCGTTTGGGCTCTGCGCTTATTATTATTATCAACTCGTCTCGATTATATATATAGATTTATAAATGCATAAATTATTCATAATTAATAAATGATAAATATTATGTTAAACAGTCTAGCAACATTCATTTTAATCTTTAGTTTTGGTCTCGTTGTGATGCTATTACTCTACAGTTTACTTCTTTTTAAGTGATAAAAACATGATTTAGCGTATTTTTAAAAAGTATATCATGTGACATATTTCATAAGTTTTACAAATTATTCATAAATTGCAGTAGATCCAGATAGCATTTTACCGTAAGAAAGGAGTTTCATTTTACATAATCCCGTTACTTCAGCAGCTTCTCAGACTTCAATTTTTAATCTGAAATCAAAAACTGTTGTTTTGATGTAATGGGATTGTAACTAAATTTCACTTTGTAATTTCTACAAACGAAATTCTTAAGAAGTATTTAAGAACTAAGATACTAATTGAACTTTCAAAGTTATTTTTTCTTTATTGTTTTAATAGGTTTTCTGGGATTTATAAAGTATGGCTGTTATTCGAGTATAAATAACGAAAACAACGCAACAATGACTTGTTACAAAAACCATTTAGCAAAGATTCTAACGTTTCCAATTGTAAAAGCATCTATTATTGTTGTTTTTCTCTTGTATCTCGCTGGAGGAATCTATTTCACGAAATATATACAGTCCTCTACAGGAACCGACAGATCATTTAACGACAATTCCAATATACTAAACTTCTTTCGTAATGAAAATACATTCTATTCGCAATATCGCGATAGAATCCAGATAATTGTTACATCATCATTGGACTACTCCAATCCAAACATTCAGAATAATCTAGAGAAATTAACGACAGAACTGGAGAATTCTCCTCATATGGCCGGAAGTAATTTCACGGAATCGTGGCTGAGAATTTATCTGAAGTTCATTAAAAACCCACAGTTTTGGATTTCTCTCAGAGGATACAATTTGAGTCTACCCGAAGACTTCACCGATGCTTTACGCGAAGTATTTCTTAAATTCAAGTGGGCCAAACGTTTTAACAAGGACATTGTCTTCAGTGAAGATGGCACTAAAATATTAGCTTCCAGATTTTTTATTCAGACGAAACTGGTTGATAATTTGCAGAAAGACAATGAAGTTTTTATTAATCTCTGGAATGTAATAGATAAATATAATCTTCCGGTAAAGTGCTACAACTATCGATATATTTTCTTTGATTATATAATTAACGCAGTTCCTACAACAACTCAATCAATAGTCGTTAGTTCTTGCGTAGTGATTTTGATATTTATCATTTTGATACCAAATTTGTTTTGTGCATTTTGTATTGCGCTCACAATAGCTTGTATTGAAGTAATAACTATAGGATATATGTCCGTATGGGATGTTACATTCCATCCAATAGTGACAGTTTTTTTAATAGTGATCACCGGATTTTGTACGGATTACGCAGCTCATATATCGTACGCATACGCAAAGAGTAAAGGAAAGAATCCGAATGAAAAACTGCGAGATTGTTTGGATACTGTTGGTCACGCGATTGTGCAAGGTTGTCTTTCATCACTTTTGAGCGTTTCTATGTTAATATTCACTCCGTATGGATTTTTGAAAGATATGTATAAAATATTTATCGTATTTATTGTTTCTTCCATAATTCAAGGGTTGTGTATACTTCCAGTTATGCTCTCATTGTGGGACAGTTTATTGTTATTATTATGTAAAAGTGATGAAAGGCGTTCTAACGAAGAGTTTTCGGATCGTCCGAATACGAATGAAAAGTTGTTAAAATAAATAATAATTATTTAGTCGTACTTGAAAAAGTGCTTGAGGAATAAAATAATTTAGAAATTTCCTTAATCAATTCTATATTGTAAGGTTATTATGGTTTTGCTGTAATGAGCGTTTTAACAGAAACAAACTTCTTACGAAAATAAAAATGAATTGGTATATTCCAATGAGATCAACTACATTACTTAAAACGTTAGAAATCTCAGAAACGTTAAATATTCTATGCATTACAAAGCGTTAATTTGTGAGCATTGTTCCATCGTGTAATTTAACCTCCGTCTACGTATTTTAAAAAATGTTTATTAATTTGTTTTGATTGTTTTTATTTGTTCTTAAATACAGATTATTGTTTACTGAAATTTTAAATACTATATTCTGTTGCTTAAACGATAAATAATAACTGATCTGATGGCCACTGTATTTATAGATTAACAAAGAATTTCCTGATACCTTGCAGTTTTTTAAAAGAAAACCTGTGCATATTTTATCTGCGAATTAATAATTTAAAAGAAAAACCATTCGTATTAATTTAAGTTATATTAACCTTCTTTAAAACTGCACTCGGCTCAGAGTGTCACGTGGTTTATAACATCACGTCACAAGTATAAGTTCAGATATCTCGCGAAGGTCACGTTTAACGTCATACTCCTTTGGAATTTATTGGTCATTTACGGGGTGGAAACGGGTTAATATACATACAGTTTAACTTTATTATACAAAAGACAATTATGACTTTCTAACTTATAAATTTCGTACGAAACAAAATATTATATTTCATGACGTTTACTGTATATTATATAAAGCGTAATAGTTTTATACAGATTTGTTGCATATAAATGACCTACATTCTAAAATTATGAACCTATATTTCCTGTATTTGAATGTAGAGTAAAATCGAAACTACTTTTTTTGATTTATTTTATTAAAGTTTATTATGACTTCTAAATACGTTACAATATCAGCTACATGCTGTAATATTTATACAGTAAAAATCTTTTTCCGTACATGTGATATTACCTTTTGGGTGAACATTTTCACCACTTTAAATTACATCTAGCTCACAACCCCTCTTGTTCAGTATTTACAGGTTTTATTTACATTATATACATATTGAGGGATTTGTGATAACATNGTAGTAAAATATACTGCATAATAATTTTACTGAAGAAATACTTGCATCATTATATAACTATTCTTTCTTTTAATACATTTTTATGTATTAATAGAATAGATGAAAGCCGAGATTAGATACTGAAATGTTATGGTAGTAGGCCCACGTGAATTCAGTTAAGCATGTAAGCATTGCTATGACATTTTGTTTTAGATGTTGTTTGGTTCCTATACATCTGCAGACACAGGATTACGGAATTTTCAAGAATTTTTGCGATAACTTTTTCACTTTCGTGTTTGATTATTTTAAAAAAATTTCTCACGTTAGATTTTAATGATTTTGGTGTCAAAATGCTCAAATTTCTGGCATGTGCTTAAATTGTTTTCTTGAAAATATAATTGATTCTGAGAAAAGATATCTATATATATAAAAATGAATGTATGCCTGTCTGTGTGCCTGCCTTATGTCCTTCATGCATTACCACGCCGTTTATCCGATTGCCTTGAAACTTTGGGAAGTTGTTTAATATACTTCCGTGCAGGTTTCTGGCATTTATCCTACGATAGATGGCGCGCGTTTACACGAGCGTTCGAGCACTGTGTGTTCGATCGATTTCAAATTGTGAAGACCATTTTCCCCCTTCAAAAAATATCCCTATATATGCATTTGTGAACTGTTATTTACGATATTTGTAATAAGTTTTGTTTAATCACTTTATTTCAATGCATTTTTGCTAATTACGTATTCGCTCGAACTTCGTTAAAACCTTAATTGTACCCCGAACAACAACCGAACTTATAATAAGAAATTCGCGTATTTTACCGATCTAGGTATCCCCTTTTCCAAATTTTAATATCGACTCAAAATAATTTAAAAAGACAAATTACAATAAAACGGTTTATTATCCAACTATCAGAAATTTCACAACGTGCCAAGGAAGAGCGGAAGGAGCAATTAAATAATTAAAATTGTAAAGGATTAAATATAAATATATTCATTAATATCACTTTTTCAACATTTT